GAATCTTTATCTCAGTAGCTTCTTCAAGGCAGCTTGGGGACAGTGAAATCCTTGGTTAGAGGAAGAGGGAGTAAAAAGCAAAGAAAAATTGCATTGAGTTACTGACAGAAAACGGATTATGTGGAAGAGAAGCTATAAAAGATAGGAGTGAGAGGGGGATTGCATGCTTGGAAATGGAAGCAGGAAAATGTAAGAAGCAGATTGAAGAAGAAAGACAAGTGGTTTAGGATGTCGTACACCTTTAATTAGAAACTTAAATGACCCAAACAGGGAAGTTAATTGTCTTTGTTATCTAATATATCTACTACCGAGGTATCACAGTTGAATTTTTCCCTTGTAAACTGTCCAAATTGAAGCTAGTTTTATCTTTAGGTATGCCTTAGTAATTTGTAACTGTAATATGGCAGTTTCCTTATCAATTCATCAGTATTTGAGTATTGTTATAGATCAGGTTGATACTGAATGTTTAGGTATATCATTTGTCTACCCCAGTCATGAAGTTAGATTTTATACTTATAAAGCATAACTAATCAATGCAGTGATGGAAATTCCTAAAGAAACATAAAACCCAGGTTTGATCATAATAAAACTGAGAATGTTTAAATAGGAAAATAAAACATAAATTATAATGACTCTCAATTTTAATCTGCCAGAGAATCATTTGTAGTAACTGTAGTTAACTTTTGTAGTAACTAGTTAATCATTTATAGTAACTTTTTTAGTTTTAATAATTTTTAAAAGACATTCAGATAAGATTTTCTCGAATATTTTTTAATTATTTAGAGCAAAGATGATCTGTAAATTCTAATGATATAAAATGGGTAGTCAAAAAAGGTACTGATCAGTGTAGAAATTTATTACTGTATTTATCTTTGTTTGGTACTACTGTGACAAAACACTTGAGACTGTGTAATTTATAAAGAACAGGCATTTATTGGCTCTCAGTTTTGGAGGTTGGAAGTCCATTATCAAGGTACTAGCATCTGGCTGGGGCCTTCTTGCTGCGTTATCACAGGGCAGAAGGGCAAAAAGAGAGCACGAGGAGGTCAAACCTCCCTTTTTATAATGGCACTAATCCCATCCATGAGGGTGGAGATCTGGCCTAATCAGGCCTTAAATGTCCTACTTTTTTTTTCTTTCTTTTTTTTTTTTTTTGAGATGGAGTCTCCCTCTGTCGCCAAGGATGGAGTGCAGAGGCACAATCTCAGTTCACTGCAACCTTTGCCTCCCGGGTTCAAGTGATTCTCCTGCCTCAGCCTCCCAAGTAGCTGGGATTATAGGTGCCTGCCACCATGCCTGGCTAATTTTTTTTTTTTTTTTTTTTTTTTTATTTTTAGTAGAGACAGGGTTTCAGCATATTGACCACGCTGGTCTCGAACTCCTGACCTCAAGTGATCCACCTGCCTTGGCCTCCCAAAGTGCTGGGATTACAGGCATGAGCCACCGTCCGGCCTTTTTTTTTTTTTTTTTGAGACAGGGTATCACTCTGTCCCCCACGCTGGAGTGCAGTGCTGCGATCTTGGCTCACTGCAGCCTTTACCTCCTGGGCTCAAGCGATCCTCCCACCTCAGCCTCCTGAGTAGCTGGGACCACTAGCACCCCCTCGCCTGGCTAATGTTTATATTTTATCGTAGTGATGGGGTTTCAACATGTTGCCCAGGCTGGCCTTGGGCTCCTGAGCTCAACGTACCTACCCACTTCAGTTTCCCAAATTGCTGGGATTACAGGCATGAACCACTGCCCCTGGCCAGAATGTTCTACTTCTTAGTACTGTTACAATGACAGTTGAATTTCAACGAGTTTTGGAGGGCACATACATTCAAATAATTACTGCAGCTAACAAATACCTTTGCCATTGATTACGACAAGTTATTTAGAAGAATGGAAAAGTCTCAGACTTTAGATGCACTGGAGATTGTCTGTTTGAGGGAGGAAGAATCATTTTTGTCAATAATGTGCTCATTTCCACTAAATTGCTTTTAACCTGGGTTAGTTTCCCTCTCACACCACTAGACACAGGGCTTGTTAAATATTGCTAGAGTGCACTAGGGGAATAATAAACCATAGCCCTGTTTTGCTTTGCTAAGTTTCTAGGGTCATTTATTTGGGGCTTGCAGGGTTATCACTTAATGGTGACTTTTAAAAAAATGCAAAATAATCTTCTTCTTGTATTAAATGGGAAACCAAATTATAAGGGAAGTGGACTGTTGTGTGGCTTGAGACCCTGCAGCTAGAAGGGAGATCTGACATGAAAAGCATTTGTTTCAGACTCTTCCATATAGATCTACAAATGGCACACAACTGAGCACAACTCAACAAAGTCTGAAAGACTTGAGGAGATTTCTACCCTTGAATAATGAAATATGTTGTTTTAAAATTAGTATTAGCCTAGAGATTGCATATTGTTTTATTTCTTTTAAATCAGAACTCCCAGTTTGTCAGTGAGCCAGACTGCATGTATCTGCAGTACCTTCTCTTTTGAAAAGCCTATCACCTGAGAAGCCAAACTCTGATCAGGAGGAGCAGAGGACCTGGGAGTTTGAGGTCATCAGACATTTGAGGTTTTCAAACCAGTCCAAGGTGCTGATGTCTCTCTGCTGCTGGGACCAGCTGGCCTTGGGCCTCTTGGGCCTTTTTTTTCTGGGAGAAAAATCAAGATAGCAAGCATGTTAAAAGATGAACCTGCTCCCCCTAAGTGAAATCAAAATCTTCTCCCTTAAAAACTTTGGTTTTCAGATTTTTATTCAGATACATTCATATTTGAGGGCAGGGAATAAACATTTTCCCTCCCTTTTTTCCCTCTTCACCCTTTATAAATTTTGTGGGGTAAAAGTAATACATGTATATCGCGAAAAATTCAAATACTACAAAAATCATATAGTCCTGAATAAAGCTCCCTTCTCCATTTTCTTCCCCAAGAGGCAACTACTTTTAACAGTTTGCTGTCTGTCTTTCAAAGATACTCTATTCATCCTTTTTAAAAAACACAAGTATTTTACATATCATTGTGTACCTTGTTTTTTCCACTTGATATTAGAGATGGGAACAGATACTTAATACATACTCAGGTAAGCTCTTTCTTTGTACATTTGCCATTAAAATATACGCAGTTCCTACTAGGGAATTCGATATTACTCAGATAATATCAAGGTATACAAAAGATTTTAGTTTTAGTGATTTTTCAGAAATTTTTAAGCCATTCCTCTTTCCCCTGCAGTTTAAAAAAATGCACGGAATTCCTAATACCAGCTATATGTTCTGTAATTCTACACCAACCAAATCTATACTGCACAAGACATATGAGAGCCTCAGGACCCTCTCGGGATATGTAAGTTAGGGGTAGGACAGTTGGTGTCCCAGTCTCTCCATTGAGTCTGTTTCTGTGCTGAGTGTCCCTGCAGATCAGGTAAGCCTCTGAGTGTCAGCTCTGTGCTGGTCTTTCTGTAGGTCTCATCTCCTAGACTTCCAAAGTCCCTCAAGATCCTGAATCAGGAGGACTTTTCCTATCTAGATCTCCAGTCAGCGAGCATGATGGTCAGGGCATGTCCACAGCATGGTATCCTCACAGGCCTTTCGTGAACTCCACCTGGTGATCCCTTTTATTTATCAGCTCTGTATATGCTGCAGTATTAGCTAGTGGTCAATTGCTTTATAAAAACTGTGGGCCAGGTGTGGTGGCTCACACCTATAATCCCACCACTTTGGGAGGCCGAGGCAGGCGGATTACCTGAGGTCAGGAGTTCGAGACCAGCCTGGCCAACATGGTAAAACCCATCTCTACTAAAAATATAAAAAAATTAGCTGGGCGTGGTGGTGGGCGCCTGTAATCCCAGCTACTTGGGAGGCTGAGGCCGGAGAATCACTTGAATCTGGGAGGTGGAGGTTGCAGTGAGCTGAGACCGTGCCACTACCCTCCCACCTGGGCAACAAGACTAAAACTCCGTCTCAAAAAAAAAAAAATTGTGTTGGTGGGTCGTGGTGAGATACTTGCATTGGATTTTCAATTAGCAGCAATATTCTATGGTAGAAACATTCTGTACAAATAATGTTTTGAAAAGTTTTTAAAATTAATTTCAGCATGTTATCAAAAAAATCAACACATTAAGTAGAAATTAAAAAATTGTATCTATCAATTTATCTATACTTAAACTGGCCAACCGAAATTATTCTCAGTGCTATTCATGAGTTATTTCTAAATTGGCAACACTATTCTTTTAGTTGTAAAATTCTTTCAAACAAAACTTTAAATATTCTAATGTGGGTAGAACATGAGCATTAAAAATTATGAAGTTTTTTTATAGTGCTATTTAAATTTGTACAATACCTTAAATACCTGTAATAAAAAATATCAGGGAAAATTCTGGATGCTACTGTTATGAGGTTACTGGAAAGGCAGTGATACTGCCTGGGATTCCTAGTTATCTCTGTGATAACTCATTTTTTAGTTTTGCAAAGTCTTGATACCGCCAGAGGGAGCTGTTGATATCGAAGTCCTTGAATGAAGAAGTTGGTGGTGAGGAGAGTTAAGACTAGGGAGCAGCTTATGCTGATCTATGAAGCATAATCATTATCTTGTCTGTAATTTTTAATCTTACAGGCTCTTCCCCGCAGCAAACATTTCCCCTCTATGTTTCATTTCAGCTATTCTTCCCAACACATTGGCCCTTTTCTCTGCCTGGTCTCACATCCTGCTTTCATCATACTCACATTTGTTACTATGTTTATTATTTTCTTGTGACTATGAAGTTTCTGAAACTTTTTTTGTGTTATAGTAAGCAAGTAGTCTCCTTTGGCATGGTATTTATAAACTGAGCTAGTTTTCATGTGTCAATAGAAACTGCATTTTAAACCTAAATGCTTTTATTTGGTTTGCTTTTGCAATGAAGCCATAAAGATTTCCTTCTATTCTTCTGGCTTATAGAGGTATTAACAAATAACAAAGAAGAGGTACTGGCTTGTACTTAGCATCCGAGCTAATGTTGTTCATATTGTCTTATTAGAACACCTGGAGAGTGCAAGTTCTAACTCAGGTATACCAGCTGCACAGAGAGGTGAGTTTGTCTAATTAAGCAAATAGTCACCAAAGGTGTAAAATTCTAGTTTGGTGGTGCATGAAATTATAGACATCAAAGAAATGCACTGGACAATATGGCATAGACACCAAAATCTGGCTTTTTTTTTTTTTTTTTTTTTTTGTAGGTAGAATATGTTCTTTTAAAAAACATCAATTAAACTAATATTTAAATTTTTTAGTATGTTAATGGTTTCCCAGTTTCTAAGCATAAAATTTTAGCTCCTTAAAATTTCTTCCCAGCTTAGCAGTGGTAAAAGTTATTCTTTTAAAAAGGGGGAACTTGTGAGGCTCACACCTGCCCCAACCCTGTATTATCAGAGGCTTCATTGCCCAAAATCAGACATGGAAACAAAACATTAACAAAAATGGCCCTTTGGTTTTCCTCTTACTGACTGTAGAAAGAAGATATTTTAATAACAGATAAGTCAACTAGTAACTTTTTAAAATGTGTTCTTCAACATTTGATTCTCTCTCTTTTTTTTTAAATTTTAGGGTAAAACTAGGGAAATGAATTATTCACAAAGTTTTGATTATAAAATAGGAACAACTGAAATATTATAAATTAAGAAGAGTAGGAAATAAAGTTAGTTAAAGCGCAGTATGTGGTCCTTTCACTGATATTTATGTTAGACCCCAATCAGGCTCTCCCTAAGAGACCACACAACTATGACATCACCAAAAATGCTCAGCCTGCTAACTGAGAACTTGGTTTTGGACAAATCAGTGTCTAAAGCTTGACTCTTTACTATCTCTCTTATCTGACTTGAAAAGGACCGTTCTTTTTCTGAGTTACAGTTAAATTACATCATCGAAAGGAGTGTTAAGACGAGTAAGAGACATCATCCATATTTTTTTCTTTGTTTTTTCTTTTGTTTTCTGTCTGTGTTTTCAGCAACGTCAGTTGATTACAGTTCCTTTGCAGACAGATGCAGCAGCTGGATAGAGCTCATTAAACTGAAAGCTCAGACCATAAGGCGTGGATCAATTAAGACAAGTAGGCGGATGTTTCTACCACATTATGATAATCTGAGAAACATATCCCTGATTTCCCAGTGGTAAAAGCTAGACCTTACTACCCAGTAATAACATTGCCAATCCATCATGTATTAGAGTGTGAAAGCTGCAGACTCTAAGGGTCATTTAGGAAAAGCTTTTGAAAGGCCTTTAGATTTATTAGTTTTACCTATAGAATTGTGTTTTTAAAATTTTCCTTTTTGTGCAGGCATTTTTAAAAGTATATAAATAGATATTATATTGTTCTAGCTGAAAATAAATTACCAACTCTCTTATTGAAGAGACATTCTTCCAGGACCCAAGGTACTATTTAGTATGTGGCATCTGTTGGTTTTTTAAGTGTGATATGCAGAGGGCTAAACGAGTAAAGAATTTCTGGAGAGAAAGTAGTTATTACCTTACTGCTAGAATCAGAATCATTACTTATATGTTATCTTTACCCCATGTGTTTTGGTAAATTTTGAGGTAAATGTATTTGAGTGAAAGAGCTTACTGTATATTAGAAGGGGAAAAAACTACATTTCACAGGAAATAACATAGGATGTGAAACCAGCCAGATCTGGTTCTGAATCCTAGAAGTGCCATTTTAATAGCTATCAGACCTTGGGCAAGTTACTTAACTTCTCTAAGCTTCCATTTCCTCATGCATGAAATGGGAATGATGATGATAGCCTATATTTCTGGGTTGTTGTAAGGATTAGATATATATATGTCTGTCTTATGGCAGTTATTTAATAAGTGGTAGCTATTGTTTTTTTTTGTTTTTTTGTTTTTTTTTTTTTACTTTGTAAACAACCAGCTTTTAGCTAGCAGAGGTCATTGTGTTAAGCTTTTAAAACTATGAGTTGGTTTTCAAAAAGGTTTGGAAAAAGCAAATATCTTACAATTAGATAACATAAGGTTTATCTACAAGTTGACAATGATGAAGTCGTCTGAAAAAGATGGAAAAATTGCGCTGGGAAATATAACAACTTTCACACTCTCCTTGTAATAATTTGTTCCTACAGCAGATAATTTTAATGCTCTGCCGCTTTTTCTTTTTCTTCACTTTATAACCAATCATTGTGTGTGTAGCTATACTGCATCAACATTTTCTTTTGCAGGAATGCCATTTTTCTTCCAAAAGAATTCCATTCCAGCATTTCCTCTCATGTTTTTCTGTCTCTCTTTTTTAATTGCATGCAGTGCATGATAATTTCTTTTCTTTCATGACATGGCTTAGCCTCACAGACAGCTGAATGTTGTCACCACTTATTTGGAAACCTCAGGGAATAATTGTGTTACCAGCGTCTGTTCTGAATGTTTTCTCCTCTTTCTCCAATTTTAGCCGTGACAGTTGAAAAAGCAAGTCCAGTGGGTGATGGAAATTTCCGGAATCGTTCTGCTCCACCTTGTGCAAATTCCACAGTTGGGGTTGTTAAGATGACACCTCTTTCTTTTATTCCTGGAGCAAAAATAACTAAGTATCTTGGGATAATTAACATGTTTTTTATTCGAGAGACTACTTCTCTTCGGGAGGTAATTTTATAGAAGTTATTTCATTGTTTTTTTGAGTTTTCTCTGATTGAAGATTTAGTAACAAAACCAAACAAGTTTCAAATTGTTATTTTTTGCCAAAAATAACTTACAAATATTTATTTATATTTTAATAATCTATCTGGATTGAGTCTAGAGTTTATTTCATTTAGCAGCTAGGATTATCACAAGAATTGTGTCAGTTTTAAACCTATTTATTGTTAAAAATCTTAGAACCTTATCATATAGTAAATAAAACAAATATCTGTGTTCAAATAGAGGTTTAAAATAGCCCTGAAAGAACAGCTTCATTTTCTCAGTAATTTAGCAACTTTTGACAGATCACATTTAGAAATAATAGAGGACTCTATTATGGATATATGTCTAAAGAGATACTTTATGTAATTTAGCTCTGCTGTTTCTTCCTACTGAGAAAGGAATGAAGCTGCTCATCTTTTACTCTCTCCATTAGTGTATGAGGATGACATTTCTTCAATCTTATCTCACACTGAGTATCATTAAACTTTAATTTGGTTTTTAAATAACAAGTTGTAATATTTTACTTGATGTGGAAAAAGTTCAGAATCAGAGTCAGCCTGTTATATCTTTTATAACACAGGAATTTAAACTTAAAAAAAATTATATAATGTCATATGTTAAGGAACAGGGGCTACCAAGCAAATTAATATTGTGAATAGGGAAATTTTTTAATTACTGAAGTGTGACATCCAATAATCTTTTCAAATTTTACTTTAGCTGCAGTTTGTATTTTTAAAAAGTATATTCATTATAAAGACGAATAAGGCACACTTAGCTGTGCCCTTTTTCACCAGCAGTGTTTCTATACTTTCTTAGGAATAACAGCCTGCAGGCTATCTTTAATAACATACTCACCATCCTGCGCCTAGCACAGTAGCTGGCACAGAGTAAACACAATATGTTTTTGTGTAAATGAATGAATAGCTTCTGACAGATTATTTAATTACTTAGATGGATGTTTTCTTTGAGGTAAATTAGGCCAGGCATGGTGGCTCACGCCTGTAATCTCACCACTTTGGGAGGCCGAGGCGGGTAGATTGCTTGAGGCCAGCAGTTCGAGACCAGCCTGGCCAACATGACAAAACTCCTTCTCTACTAAAAATAGAAAAATTAGCCAGGCGTGGTGTCACATGCCTGTAATCCCAGCTGCTCGGGAGGCTGAGGTACAAGAATTGCTTGAACATGAGAGGTGGAGGTTGCAGTGAGCTGAGATTGCACCATTGCACTCCAGCCTAGGTGACAGAGTGAGACTCTCTCCTCCCCCCAAAAAAAGATAAATTAGTTTTTATATCACTCTTAATTATGTTAAGATGAAAAATAAACTATCAAGATATTCTCAAAAACCTTTTGATAGAGAATTAAAATAGATGATACTTCTCTACATCCATTTACATTTGACAAAGATTTGGTGCGAAAAGCTGGCATGTATTATGAATTAACCTTTCTACTTGCTCTTGGTAGCACATGGATATTACACTATTTTGAATCCATAAAATTTTATTTCCTAAGCCTTCTTGACTACTTAAGCTCCCATACCTCAAAATGTTGCTTCTTGGTGGATTTTCCTTCAACAGAAACTTATAATATTAACTGTGTAGCACAATATTCCAAATGTGTTAATTGCCTGAGTTGTTTCCTTACAGTTAATTAATATTTTTTAAATTAATCCTCTACAGAGCTACTGTGTCGTCAGAATTTTTTGATTTAATAAACAGGAGGAAATTGATAAAAGTCAAAGAAAAATATACTGAACTATGATTGAGTTGGAGGCAGGCTGAAGCAACTCCCTTAATTCCTTAACTACAAAAAGAGATATCTTTACAAAACTATATGTAGTATCCTCAGGCTTTTCAGAAAGATGGATTTTTCCCCTTCCAGTTTAAAGTTGGAAATTTCCTCCTAGACTGTAAATAAGTACAATAGAATTTGTGGAAACCTAGGTTGAAAAGCATTTTAAGCTATTGACTAGCCTTTGATTTCTGTTTTCCTTGTTTTTGAATATGGAAAAAGTACCCTGAACTACTGGATTTTATTTCCTAACAGTTATGTGTAGAATTCTTATTATATGCACCTGTTGAACTAGATGTTAGCATATAGTTGTATGCAAAACAGATACAGTCCCTGACCTAATGGAACTTACAATCTAGTAGAACTGGAGCATGGTAGACAAAAACAAATAAATCATATAATTAGTATCTAATTACTAGGGAGAGTAAGTAATATAAAGAAATTGAACAGAGGCTATCAGAGAATGTAATAGAGGACTTCAACTTATAGTTCACAGTCAGAGAAGGTATCTCTGAAGACATTATAGGTAAATTGGGACCAAGGAGTGAATGAGTTGTTCTGTGGAAAAAACAAAAAAAAAAACTGAGTGAAAAGTCTTCAGGAGCAACATGTGCCAGTGAGCCTGAGGTAGGAAAAGTGCTTGTGCATTTGAGAAACTGAAAAAAAGGCAAGTTTGATTGAACACGGTTCAGGTTCAGAATGAGAGATATGGATAGCAGGTAAGTTTTATTGTTTAGGTTTATCATCAATTTGTTTTAATGATGATGAGCATGATTTAATGGAGATATTGAAGGTGGAGGCACAATTTGAATTCTTGCCCTGCCATTACTTACTAGCTGTTTGATCATAGCTAGTCATGGGCAAGTTACAGATTCTCCGGGCTTCAGTTTTATCATCTGTAAAGTAAATGTAGTAAATCCTTGCCTGGACATGTGTTCAGTCAATGTTTGTTCATTCAGTAAATCCCCATTGTGAGGGAAGTTTAAGTTATTTGGTATATTAAGATAATTTAGGATGTTTTAATATATATTCTTTGACATTTTGTATATATTCCTATATCCATACACATGTATCTATGGTATGATTTTCCTGTGTGTTATTATTTAGGAAGGAGGAGTCAGTGGTTTTCTCCATGCTTTTATTGCTGAAGTGTTTGCAATGGTGAGAGCTCATGTTGCTGCGTTAGGAGGGAATGCTGTTGTCTCCTACATAATGAAGCAGTGTGTCTTCATGGAGAATCCAAATAAAAACCAGGTAAGATGCAGTTAAAAATTCCTGATTGGCGGGAACCTGAGAATTTCTTCCATGGCTTCCTACCCCTAACCCCCTCCAAAAGAGAATTGCTCTTTAGAACCCTTTGAGTCTAGATGTGTAAGACATTTTAATGAATTTCTTAATAACCACGGTCATACATAGTCACAAGTCAATACATGCTATTTCGGCATCTCAGGTAACTAGGTATTATTATTAATCACGTCTGGAATTTGTCCTCCTGAGTTACTGTCTCCACCCTCTTTTTGGTAAGTGTTTGGAATACAGTGATAGCTAACTGAGGAGAGCTAAAGATGTCCTTTAGTTTGGACTATGATGCTGTCCAGTTTTAGCTGCCTTACTAATGAAGAGTATATCATAGTGAGACCAAAGTGCTTGCTTATTTCTGATAAGTGGTGTATTCTGTTAATGGGGTTGAAAGCAGTTAGTTTAAATCTTAAAATAAATTTCTAAATTTTGTGTTAAGATAATAACTCACTTAAAATTGTTAAAATTTTTAAAAAATTAATTAACTATACTAAATAGCGTGAAATACCTTAAACACAGTTCTTCCCAACCTGCTTCTCTTGGCATATATCAAAAATCCTATTTCTGTGGTCCACTGGTATGCTGTGGTAAATGCATGAAGCTGTATGTGGCTGCTGGTAATTGGCCCTGGGTTTCTGACCCAGGTGACTCCCCTGAGAGCAGAGGGGATCAATATCTTGGTGGACACAGAGCTTAAGAAGCTCTAATATAGACTAATTACTTATCATCTAAGCAGGAGTAAAAATGAATAGGTGTGTGTGTATATATATATTTTTTGCCCCTACCTGTACATCTGGATAATTGTAACCAAAGACAAATCATTTAAATTCTTAGTATCATTGTTTTTTTCATTAATAAAATTATCTTACAGTGAAAGTGAGTTGTTGTCATAAATATAAAAGCAGTTTGATAAGACATTATGGAAATGCAAAATTGTTTTAGCTTTATTTAAGAGATAGGGTTTTGCCATATTACCCAGGCTAAACTTGAACTCCTGAGCTCAAGCGATCTTCCCATCTCAGCTTCCCTAGTGGCTGGGACTACTGGCACATGGCACCACACCTGACTGGTTTTAGTTTTATTTTGAAGTCATGAAGTTTAATCAATTTCTTCAGAAGGGTACTTCATTTACTAAGTTCTTTTCAGGTTTTCTTGATAGTTTACACATTTTCATAACTCATGGTATATTAAACTTCATTAAGAAGATGTTGAAGAAAAATAGTGATAAACAAAACTATGAGACAACCTTCTGATAAATTTTGGCAATGGCTAAGGCACGTTAGAGGGAGAAGGGAAGTTATGAAACATCCTAGGAGGATTTTTGGTAGATAATTGGGGCATATCTAAAGCTCAGTGAGGCTACTGCAGTTCTGGATTTGCAACCAGCTTATTAATAAGATCTGGAGTGAAGGAGATTGTGTGGAGTGGTCAAAAGGGGTACATGGGGAGAAGAAAGATTGAGAAAGGAACAGTGAGAAAGGCAGAAGGAAAACCAGGAGCGCTGAGAACTACCTATACACAGATCATTTGAAAGTGGAAGTGGAATGGAAACCAGGCACATCATGAGCAGGAGTGTTTGATACAATTTGGTATTATCTGGTCATAAAGAAAGCCATCTATTAGATCTTGAAATTATATTCAACTGGGTACTTCTTTGTAATAATTTATTTGATATAAGAGGATTTTCCCTAGTTTAAGAATCCTTTTTTGCTTCATTACTTTGTATTTGAGAATGAGATTTGTAGTTTTGGGTTTTTCCCAGTGTTAAATTTATACAACTTGTTCACTGACGTAATTAGCACCTTAACAAATGCCTCAAAATCAGCTTATCCAGAACAAAACTTATATCTGTGCCTCAGTTTTCTCATCTATGACATTGGGATAAAAATTGGGGAAATCATGAGTTAATATATGTAATGTGCTTTGTGCCTGGTGGATAGTAAGCACTGTAAAGGTTGTTACTATTATCTTTTAAATGTTTGTCTTCAATGATTTCTCACAAGACAGAGTCATGCTTCTTAATATGTCCTACAAGGTCTTCCACGTTCTCAGGTCTTCTACCTTTTCAGACTCATCTGTTGCCCCCCTCACCTCTCCTAACATACCCAAGACGTAGATTGAATTGTTTGGTTTTCCAAATGAACTGTGCATTTTTTTTTTTTTTTTTTCCCATTTCTGGTACTTTGTAGTGTTGATATTAACTCCATTTTGTAGGTGAAAAAACTGAGGGTTAAAAAACTTAAGTTTGGTTTGAGGCTATAAATAGAAAAGCTAGAATATACCCAGATTTTCCACCACCAGCCCTCTTCCTCTGTACCTAAATGATAACTATCAACGGCTGATTACCACTGAGGTGCACACATCATATCAGGTGCCATGATTTATGTCATTAGCTTCTCCCCCTACTTTTATGTGAGATCTTGCATGTACACAAAAAATGTAGAGAACTGCACACAGACATTCTTACAACCCTCAGCTTAAGAAATAAAGTATTAAAAATATGGTTGAAGCCTCAGTGGGCCTATTTCCTCTTCATACTGAATGAACCATCTTAATTTTGTCATTCCTATGCATGCTTTTATATCTTAAAAAAATTAATTGTAGTCTTATTTTGTATCTAAAATGTTTTAATATATTTTTGAATAGGTAGTACATGATTAAAAATTCAAAAAGGTATGAATGGAAAAGTCTCTCCTTGTCTGCTATTCCAGCCAGTCAGTTTTCCTCCCCACATGCAACCAAATTTTTCTTTTTGGTAACTTCTAGAGATGTAACACTCCAAACTATGTAACTAGAGAGATTTTATACATACAAGCAAATATATATTCTTTTATTTTCCGGTTTAATATAAGTGGTAGCTTTACAGTACATACTGCTTCTCAGCTTGCTCTTTCACCTGATTTTTCTTGGCAAGGTTTTCATTTCAGGACATAAAGATTACCTTTATGTTTGTCACAACCACATAACACTCCATGGTATACGTCGATCGGAATTTCTTTAATTAGTCCCCTACTGATAAACATTTAGGTTGTTTTCAGTAAATGTTGTGCTGATACATACAGTGCTACAAAAACAATGTGATACATAAGTGATTAGCACAAGTGTGAGCATCTCTGTAGGGAAAATTTCTTAAAACAGAATTGCTAGGTCAAAAGTAGTACCTTTGTAATTTTCATGGAGATTTCCAAAGTTCCCCTTCATTGAGATATTTTGCACTTTATATAAATATATAAGGATATATATAGTTATGTAAATGATTTTATATTGTATATGTCATTTTGCAAATTGCTTTTGTTAATTCATCATAATATTTACCCATATTGATTGAGCTTTAGGTCATTTTTCACTTCCATATAGTATTTCAGATATGAATGTTCCACAGTTTATTTTCATTTCCCTTTTGATGGGCATTTAGTTTGTTTCTAGTATTTTGCTAAACATGATGCAGTGAAAAGTCACTTATTAATCTTTGTTGCATACATGTCCAAGATTTCTCTAGGGAACACATATACATGGAATTAATGGATCATGCAGTGTGTTCTTTTTCTGCTTTAGGAGATGGTTCTTTTCAGGATGGTTGCACTTCCCACTGCAGTGTTAAGTATGTTGCTGTTGTCCCATGTCTTTGTTAACACTTGGTAACATCCAACTTTTACATTTTTTGCCAATATATATTAAGTGGTGTCTCGTTGTCATTTTAATTATGTATCTCTAATAGAGGGCTTGAATATGTTTTCATATGTTCACAGGAGCTCCTTGAGTTTTCTTTCCTGTGAATTGCCCTCTTGCCCTTTTCTCATTTTTCTGTTGGATTGTCTATCTTTATCCTAAAATTTAGAAGCCTGTGCTTTTTTGGCTATACAGCACTGCCCCTTGTGTAACAGAAGAGTATGAATGTGTTGAGTATAACTGAACCTGTCCTGTTTATTGTTCTTGTAGGCACAGTGTCTTATAAATGTAAGTGGTGATGCAGTGGTTTTTGTTCGTGAATCTGACTTAGAAGTGGTGTCATCTCAGCAACCTACTACCAACTGCCAGTCATCATGTACTGAAGGCGAAGTTACAACCTGAGGAAAATTAGGAAAAAAGAGTTCAACTAAATGAAATTCATCAATCTCTGTTATTTTGTCATTATCTTCTTAGACTTAAAATTGAACTTGAGATAAATAAGGAAGAATTGAGTAGATTTTATTTGCCTGGAGTCTTTTGGAGGCATGAGAATTTTCTAATCTTGACATTTTGTTTGCCTGTTCTAGACAGGCCCTGTGGGATCTTGACCCTTCAGTAAGTTAAGATAAATTTTTAAAAGAACTGTAGCAAAGATGGAACCTTTGTAATTTATGTTGATTTTAATAAAATCATAATTTAAAAAATGAAATGGGAAGATTGTCAGGAAATTAGGATAGCTACTGTAGTATAATTTAGAAAAACTAAGCAAGAGATTCTCCAGTTGTTAGTGAGTAAGCAGTCTGATTTGAGAAATGTGTGGGGACAATGGAGAAAAGTTTTCAAAAAACTACTATGTAGATTTCTGAATGTGTTTTATTTTGATGAGGAATTTGGTAACAACTGAAAGGGAAAAGTGCTTCAGCCATCTTTTGAAAACAAGTTAAAATTCTGGAACTTGTATCTGTAATACATCCTAACTCCTATAAAAGAAAATAATCTGTCATAGCTGGTGTCCTTTCACTGAAAGTTTTAATACTGTCTCTAAGGAGAGAGGAAAAGATTATTATATAATTTTATAACTGGCAATATTTGAGTTAGTATTTGGCTAAAAGAGACTTGACTTCAACTGGGATGAAAATGTCAGTGAATTTTGTTGAAGTAGTAAAAATACAGGTGACTTAGTAGGAACATAAAATTATTTTCTAATAAGATAATATTGCACTCCTACCAAATAAACAGGATTTTAGTAATATCTGAGGGATTTTTGATGGTGAGTTAGACTGTATTTGGCATAGAATTTGGAAATGTAACTTGAATGTAAATATACTGCAAAATGTTGAATGTATACATAGACTTCTTCTGTCGATGCCAAATACCTGTTGTAAATGAACCTTAAATATTACATTCCTCCTTTGCACAGTAATATTTCTTTATAACACTTATGATTTTTCCTCCCAGGACAACAAACTGCCCTTAAGAGTCATTTCTTTGTTATCACAGGTGTCAATATTTTTCTGTATTTTGTTTATAATTTTATTTTTTAAATAAAAAGTTTATAAAAATAAACTGGAATATTCCTAAATCTCTTTTTTACTTCCATCATATACCACTGTCAGTTTTCTGAATCACTTTCTATCTGATCATCTCCATTCATTTCTTCAGTCAACAAACATCTATTGAGCACCTATTAAATGCAAGGCCCTGGCCTTAATTTTGGAAGGGGTGTGTGTTTGCAATTTTGGCTCTTTTATTGTTTCAGGTTAGGTAGGTATTCATTCAACAACTATTAAATGCCTGCTAGATGGTAGGGCACAGTTTTAGGCAGTGAATGAAACACAAAAGTTCTTCCTCTCATAGAGCTTAAAGTCAGTGTTTACACAGGTAAGTAATTTGTAAGATGTGGAAGTGCAGTATTTTAATAATTGCTAATATTTATTGAATGCTTACTGTGGGCAGCCAGTCTAATAAAGGTGTTTTCGTATTAACTCTTTTAATCCTTATGGAAACCTTATTGTTAAGCACCAGTTTATAGTTGAGGAAGCAGAATTGAGAGTTTATGTGAGTTGCCCCAAAGACAGTAAATAGTGGAGCCAAGATTCAAGCACAGGCAACTTGGCTCTAAAACCTACACTAGTAGGTGAGAAAATGTGAGTGTAGCTTGAAATAGAGGTACTTCCCAAAGGAGACAGTATTTTAGCTCAAGTCAGGAAAAGTAGCTCACTGGAATTTGGTATTCCCAGTTTATTCATCCATCCATCCATTCGTCCAGCCATTTGTCCGTCGAGCAGCTGTTCAGTGATTGCATAGTGTGCTCCAGAGTCTTTTCTAGGCAAAGGAATAATACAGCCATTGCTAATTGGCTGTTTTGTGCCATGTTCTGTGTACGATAATTCATAAAACAAGCCAGGTGGGATTATCTCTGTTTTAGTATGAACAATTGTATACTCATGGTGAGACCCAGACTGATTTCTGTCAAAGCTGGAGTTTCCTTAACCACCCAGACTTGCTGCGTATTTGCTCACATGGGCCTGCTTGCTCCTGTGGGCCACCTTTGAAGCACAATCATCTGGACCAAGATTGGTTCCTTCCAGAAAGGCTAATGTTACCCAACACCCCAAGAGCTGCTGCTCTTTCACTATGTGTAGATTATCCCTGAAACATGAGTATCTGTAATGGACATGCTAGGACTTACTCTTTTGGAAATAGGCCAGTTTACAGCATTTACAGCAGGTCTAACATGCCCTTCATCTTTCCTCGCTGCTCTAAGGGGAAATGACTCAATTTAAAGGAACTCATTGTCCCACTTCCTCCACCTCCTTCTCTCCCATGATCCATTATCATCTGGCTTTTATCACCTGTTCCGCCCCTGAATTTGAACATGCCAAAGATAGAAGTATTGGATTGCAGTATTAAGTATTTGGCAAAAGTTTTTTTTTTTATGCATACAGCTTTTTCATAAGTGCATAAATGGGATTATATAAACAATGTTTAGAGTAGTTTTATTTTTTACCTTTTTGCCTGGTTTTCTCTTCTGCCCTATCACATCCCTTCCAATCCATGTTAATAACCAAGTGTGTATCTTTATATATTTTGAAAAATCTGTTAGATATAATTTAAATTCAACAAAATTCATCTATTTTAAGTGTGTAGTTTGAGCTTGGCAAATATACATCATGTAACCAAGTATGGAACGTTTCCATCACCAATAAAGTTCCCTGGTGTCCCTCCGCAGTCAGTCTACTCCCTCTTCCATGTCAATGGGATCTTGTGCTCGGCAACTTTCATTTGGCATAATGCTTTTGAGATGCATCTATGCATGGACAACATTTTTGGCCAGTGGGAATAATCGAGCTGTTTTGCATTTGAGTTTGCACTTTTTTTGTGAAAATCGAAATTTCTGTCGTATGGAGTTGACTTTTTCTTGTTAATACTTAATCTGCTGTGTGAGACAATTTCCCCCCTATTTTGTTGTCTATCTTTACAGTAACTTTTTACAATATCTATACTTTTTATTATGGACAGTGTGACCATCTTTCCTTCTTTCAGCTTCTTAGTGAAATTGACCTCTATGGGGGCTGTCCTTAAGCTTCATCAATTTTCATACATCTTGAATTGCTCCTATGTCAGTATGTCTCCATCAGTAAAAATTTACTATGTCTTATTTCCATAAATGTCATTACTACTTAGCCAGTTTAGCTTGAGTCAGAAGTCTGGAAGATCAAAACCTATCCTCTTTCCAATACGCCACCGAATCTCATGGCACCAGGTGCATAAAGACGTGGAAGCATAAAAATGTGTGTTGTGTGGAAGCAACACATCTATTTACAAACTGTCTTTTTTTCCTTTTTCCTTCAGAGGAGGGTCTTTTTCAGAGTACTTTTGATAATCTGATCTAAGCTCTGGACCTTTTTTGTCCCCCAAAATAAGCATACACATGAACTTTTGCATACTACTTCAGGAGGTTTATTGAAACCACTTCTTTGACCCCAGGATGAATAAGGAACCACGCTGAAGAAAATGTTAGGAATGGTTGGATAAATATTATCCTAAAAAGTTTGGTTTCTTTCTAATAGAAAAGTCAAGGCGCTATAAAGACTCAATCGCTCTCTCTCTCTCTTTTTATATATATATATATA